AATACATATCTATAAGTGCCAAAGTTTGTGTGTATGTTTGTTACTCAATCTGGGTCAAAACGGCTAAATAGGACCGCGATGAAATTTAGATCAAGGGAAATATGATCTGAAATAACATAGGTATTGGCTATTTAGCCCACGGAAACTTGGGGAAAGCAGCTGGCAGAAACTAGTATTATGATTAATACGAATGTATTATTTTTACTCTTTCACAAAATAAGTACTGAACTTATTTAATTGAATAGCAAAAAGCGACACGCTCGTCGCGTTCCGCGCGCGCCTCAAAGAGGAATCAGACGACCACGGATGGGGCCCATAAGGCTGATGCCGATACCGAGGACTTAACAGGTTGCCGGGGCTCCGGCTCAAAGGGCAGGAGTAGGAACGGAGTGGTTTTTAATCAGTAAGAGTCTGACACTCACTGCCGCCTCACCCAGACGGGAGAAGTGATTCGATGATTTTCTACCTATACCAAAAAAAATAAAAAAGTCGCTGGCCAGTTGGTCTATCTAAATTATGTAACCAATTTTGTATTGAAATCAATCCAACTACATATTAGGTAGGTTGTAATACAATAATAATCATAATTTTTATTGTAAGACATTTGAATAACTAAAATTTAAATCAAGAATATAAGTTTCGTGAGGGATTTCTTTTCAAATATATAAGTACTAGTTAGCTCTGCTTAGCTCCTATTGGTCGTAGCGTGATGTTTTATAGCCTATAACCATCCTCGATAAATGCGCTATCCAACACAAAAATAATTATTCAAATCAGACTTGTAGTTACGGAGATTAACGCGTTCAAACAAACAAACAAAAAAACAAACTCTTCCGCTTTATATAATAGAATAAGAGTATAAGATGGATGGTGGATTTGGTTTCACTAGTTTGCCCTATACCTCTATAGTATACTTGGATAATGGAATGTCACAATATCAGCACAAATTCTTTATTTCTGTTAAGCATACACATTGTGTTTGGAGAAGTTTAGTATTTTGGAAAAAACCGATGTGGATAATATCATTTCAACCCCAAAGGTCGGGTTCAATCCAGATACGAACATAGTGACCTTAAGTTACAGTACATTTCAGGATATCTTACAATATAGTTGCAAAAGGTATCTGGAAATTGGGTTGTACCAACTGACCTGGAATCCAAAAGAGTGACTGGAGTGGTACCATGGACTAACGCCCTTGTGACATCTCATGGACGGCACCAAATTGCTTGCCATCAACTGATTCGATTCGATTGGCCACCGACATAAAAAACAGTTTTAGGGAAAAAATGTTCACGTAAATTACTCGATAAGTCAGATAATCCTACAGTAGTTACTAGATTGTTTAATAAAATAAATGCAACGTTATTGTTTTTTTTTATAAACATATTATCAATCACATAACGAGTGTTTGCCCAGAGACTGACTCTTCTCCAGTCACTGATTCAAGAATACCCAAATCATTTACATTGAAAAAAATATTAAAACCTTCTTGTATATTAAATCGTTTCGTATGGGTCTTAAATGAAACATAAAGAAGCTAAATCTCTCATTAAAACTAGAACGAGATAAGAAAGCCATAAATGTAGCAAATAACCACATTTAACCAGGTACAGTCAATAGGTACAGCTATTTAATATGCATGTAAGAAAATAAAGATTGATTCATACAAAGACAGGCTGTTCATACCATTGCTTGGCTACTGAACCCACCAATGCTTACAGGAAATGCGATTTGGTTAAAAATTATATAGTTTAGTAGATATAACTGTCTCTGTACCAGGTCAATATTTATTTTCTTATCTTTTTTTATTTGATAGGTTAACGTTTTGGCCACCATTACGCCTGGTGGTAAGCGATGATGTGGCTGACGATGGAGCACGCCTACCTATGAGCAATCTGTTCACTCTGGACTTGAAGACACCCAAGTTGCATTTGTCGGGAAACACAGATTCCGGCAAGTAAATAGTAGAATATACTGAGAAAAACTGTACTAGTTTCGAGCCAAAGAAGGGTTCTTCCTCATGAGCAGCGTGCACGGCCACGGCAATGTCGCGCAAGGGCCGCTGGAGTTGGAAGCAAACGCGCATGGTTTCCACCAGAGGGCGCGATGGGCTCGAAATGCGTTTGCGAATGCATGCAACATCACCAACGCGTGCCCCGACGTGACCGCGCACGCTGCTCATGAGGAAGAGTCTCTCTGTGGCTCGAAACTAGTAGAGCATTGATTTGGCATGTCTCACGATAAGTATTATAAAAACAAAATAAATAGTAATTAGGTACCTGAACAGTAAATAACTGTGCTGACTGTACATCCTCATTGATTGACTGCTGTAACGAATTCTAGCGAAAGATACACGAATCAATTTTTGTTTTCATTTATAATAGAGGAATGTACTATATACATCCTAAAAGTACTCACACTCATAAGCAATATTTTGTTAACATCGATTAATCGTGTTTATTGGTGAACATTGTCAGTTGATGGTAGTGCGATGGGATACCATAAGTCTCACACGTTATGTGTCATCCTGTCGCTTGCACATATTATAGTCGGTGAAGTTTGGGAATTCGGAGATTTTAATACCCCAGAAAGTGCACCTGCCGAGAACATTCAAGGTTCTGTAGGATTTTTGGAACGGACTAAACAAATACCGATACAAGTAAGTAAAATATTTTGTGAAAGAGTAATCGTTGTGGCACCAAATTGAGGCACCCACTTCTCATACCTATGGTGTCGTGTTGGCCCGGAGGTTTGTGACGCCCGCTTCTTATGCATGAGAGTGCAGGTTCGTAACCTACCAACTGCAAGTACCAATGTGACCTTTTCCGAGTTATAAGTTCTTTCTAAGATTATTTATATACCAACGATAAAGATAAACATCCTGACTGAGAGAACCTGCGTATAATTTCTAATTATAAGTTCGAAATCGCCAAGTTGAGCAAGCATGGTGATTAATGCCCATACCTTGTCTGTATGTGAAGAGGCTTTTGCTCAGCAGTGGACACTTAAAGGCTGTAGTTACGATGTGCAAAAATCTTTAATCTGATTTATTCAATATTTTTATATGTAACAATTATTCTACATGTAAGGTAGATGCCTAATTTTTATTTTAATGTTCGTCTGGTAGATTATTTTAAATCATTACACACGTATTTTTTATTTTCTTACAGAAACGAATACTTTCGCCGATATATTGTTTTGAAATATCGCGTGACGTCACTTCTATGTACATTTTATACGTAGAAATGACGTTTTAGCCCCCAGTCCTAAACTTTGATTCGTTTTATCCAAGTATTGTTTTATTATACGACAAAATAAAAAAATTCGTATCTAATAATTTTCATTACCTAACTTACGGACTAATTATATTTTTAATTTTCATACCCTGTCATCATCCCAATTCTAATAAAAAAATATCTTGTAGGTGCCACCATGCAGCGTAATAACCTACGTCGGAGTGAAGATTAATAACAGAGTATCAAGCCCAACTGTGTTTTATAATCCCCAAACAAGTTTGGTGACGATTTCTTATAAATGGTGGCAACACGGCCACTCCTCGTATGAAATTGTAAGCAAAGCTGTGCAAATACAGGGGTGTGATAGTGAAGCCCCAAAATAACCAGTCTCCAAAATCAGGCGCTAACTAAAACTTTTATACAACCAAACACATTAAGAATCTAGAGTATTTATTTAACAAATAAACAAGCAATTTTGATGAATAAAATGGTAAAAAACATTGCTTTTCATTAATTATTCGAATTACAAATAAATATTAATTCGATCATTAGGAAGGAAATACGGGGGTTGCCTTGAATGACTGCTCCCGCCTGGTTGAGGCGGGAGGGAGTATCAGACTCTTACTGACTAAAAACCACTCCGTTCTAAAAAGTTTTCCGGGAGTGTTGAAAATTGGCAGTTTTGTAGATTTTGATGTGCTCTTTCTGATTTTCCATTTTGCAACCTCGTATGTGCGCCGCTCCCACCATATCTATACTTCTAATATCTCTTTTCCTATAAGAAAACCGTTTGGAATCCTGCAAAATACTAACGCTTTCTACCAAACCAATGTGTATTGAAAATAACCTACTTTTATTCATTCTTTAACCACAGATTCTAACGAATATAAGCTTTTTTAAAAAACATTGTATTATTTTTTTCCTATTTCTTTATCCTATATTTCTATAAACATCTATTCCTACTTCATATTATACTTGAACTAAAAAGAACCATGTTATGTCTAGCTCAAACTGAAAAAATTGCATTCTTCACTCGTAAAATATTGATACAAACCTTTCGCACCGTGCTAGAAGTATGTAAAACGGGGTGAATAGAATTCGAGGTGTGAATAGATACAACAGGAATGGGATAAATAAATAGTAGAACATTTTCTCAATACTTATTCACCCCTCTTCTGTATCTATTCACCCCTTGAATTCTATTCACCCCATTTTACCGTAATTTGTTTTGTCCAATTTGAAACTGATGATCCCCCGGATGATTAACATATGATTACAGTCTATTTTAACTATAGTCAAAAAGTGATTCAAACTTCAAGTACGCCGTACCATAAACATTTAAACAATACCACCAAGTAAAAGAACAAAGATAACTTATTGACAACTCCTTAGGATAACTCTGACATGGAAATAATAAAAATAAATCATTTCTGACATCTTCTTTCAGAAGTATGACGTTGGCGAGTGTTTGTAAGAAAGAGAAAACAAATTATAAAAGTGAATTATGAAAAATTGATAAACCTAATGAAATGATTTTATGTTACATGTAGAACAGCAGCATAATATTACTCAAAAGTTTATTACAGGCAAATCCAACGAAAGGTACTCTTAATTCCACCACCGCCTTTGAACTACCTCTGGACTCTGGGCAGCATCTCTAATGCCTGCGTTACGACAGACTTTAAATTTTACTACTTTTCTTTAATTCCTCCTTTATACCGGTCTGTTAATGAAATTCTGATAGAAGAAAAGGTCACATAAGCAATGCATCCAATACGCGAAAGAAAATGCGACGTTTTACTGGACAATCCGCTTCTTAAAACTCCACCACCAGAACCTGAGAAGCCGCGTATACCACGCGTACGAAAGCCACGGGAGTTTAAACTGGTAACATTATCACTACTTTCTTTATACCTACTGATGAATAATTGTTCAGTTAAGGACTCGATTACCCATGTATTACATTTCAGCCTCCAAGATTTCCCTTACTACCGAAAGAATTTTATGCCTGCTGGGTTAATCATCAAAAAGAGGTATAATGTTTATCAATATATTGTCTTTTTACTCAAGTTTACGAGTTCAATTTCAATTAATTTACTGTGTGATATACAGTTACAAATGACGAAGGCTAAGGTGGACGATAGCCCTCCGGAACTGTTCCCAGAATTGTACCTGAAACCTCGAAGACTGGACTTCTACGCTCGGCAACTGGAACACACTATGAATGTTAACAAGGAATTACTAAAGAAGATCAATCTCATACAGCGCACTGGAGTAAGATGTTTAATTTATAATAGTTTTGACATCAGAGTATGAAATAATGAAATGATTTTTGGAGAAGTCTTATTAAATGGGGCATTTGGCAAAGGGCAAAGAGGTGAGGCAGGATATCAGACCTTTACGGACTAAAACCCAACCCGTTCCTACTCCTGCTTTGAACCGGAGCCCATCCGCAGCTCCGGAGTGATAGGTGTGGTAGTTTATTTCTTCATATTACCACGTCATTTACTAAGATAATGGAATTATCTAAGTCCAACGTAGGGGTGATATGAAGGTTATAAAGCCTTCTTCGCATCTCTGTGAAAGTTTTCAAAGCAATTTAATCTTCACTTAATCCCATTTTCCTTAAATTTAAACAGATTGAAGAAGAAGAAGAAAATTGAGAACAAAGATGACCATTCATAAAAAAAATTAATTCTACGACACCTAGGAGTTCATGGAATAGCTTGATATTTCCAGGGTTTCGTGGATTGCTGGAGACCTGAGCCTACCGATAAGTATAATAAGCTGCTCTGCAAACAACGACAGCGGGATCTGAACAAAATACAGCTGGCTAACTCTTATTTCTACTCCAGGCTGCTCGTTGCTGTAAGCTGACAGATTTTTTATGGATACGATATAAATAAAACAGCACTATAATAAAATTTAACAATTCTAATGTCCACATTTAGAGATCGGAGCAACTACTAACTAAAGAATTGAATGAGGCGTGGAAGGACACAAAGCACAAATTAATATTAGGAGCCTCGTAGGTATTTTCATATCCTTTAAAACCTTTTGTCGAATGTACCTTTATAATTATTATTCACTTATTTTCAGGTTGCCGTTTATTCTATTCAAAACCGGAACAATTGATCGTGATATAAAAGATCCTACGTTCGATAAACCTATTAACGTTATTCGACCTAAGTAAGTTTCGAATAACTATGAATATGGAAATGGCAAGAGCAGGCAGATAATGATAAAAATCATTATTATAATATACCAGAATAGACGTCCTGCGTCTACTCCTGTATATAGTCCCTACCCTTTCACTTCTCAAAGGACTGGCTGGACACAACCGTTCAATTGTCAGTCATGATCATAGATCATAGATGATCATAGATCATGACTGATCTTCAGTGTTATGACACTGAAGGGCGAAGGTCGTTCTACCCTCCTTCCACTCATATCTGCGCAAAGTTATCTGTAACCAATCTTTAAAAAAAACCATAGCTTACTATTGAAAACAAACCGCATTGCACTCAAGGTCAGAAAAAATATTTTCTTACAAAATATCTCCCGTTTCAGAGTATCTATGGATATCTGGGTAAGAGGAGGCTCGAAGATCGGTAAGGTTTTAATCGAGCTCTTCTCCGACATTGTGCCTCAAACTTGTAAATTTTTCTTGAACCTCGTCAAAGGAGATTCGTATGGGCATGCTTATACTGGAACCAGATTCTTCAGGTTTGTACCTGATTACCTGATTAAAGAATGCTTAGTAAATTAAATTCCTACTATACAGAGTTTCAGGTGCAAAATGCATGTATTATACATATAAACCTTCCTTAAGAATCGCTATCTATTATATATATCTAATCTATTAAAAAAACCGCATCAAATTCCGTTGCGTAGTTTTAAAGATCTAAGCATAGGTACATAGGGACAGACAGACGGCAGATAGCGACTTTGTTTTATACTATGTAGTGAAGTAATAGTTACACGAAGGCGATTAAAAATGTAAATTCAATTTTTTCATCGTTTGGGTGTAAACGTAGTAAAAAAATTGTAGTGTAATTAATCAATGAGACGTGGACATCTTTTTCTTATTCTCATATATCGTTACTCGAATGACTAGCAATGGATTGATTTTCAAGTTGAGCAAAGTGTCATTAAGATTTTCAGTTTTTGTTAGTACATATCTATGAAAAATTACGCACCGTGCAAAACAAACGTGCATCATTTAGTTAGTCTAACGCCCGAATACTGAAATACTACTCAATTTTAAGTTACTGTACTTAAATATCGTGCCATCTCTGTCATTTTGCAAAGAAATTGTAGAGACAGAACTATATTTAAGCGGAACTATATTTAAAATTGAGTGACGTTTGAGTATTTCAGCGTAAGATTTCATACGTGCTACTCCAGGTTGTTGTTTGTATATTATTCTTTTGACGTGACAACGTCTTATAAATTGGTTTGCCGGGTGACACTTCAAGAAACTGCGTTACGCTCCGCTCCGCTCACGTTATGCGCTCACAATGAGAGCGAGTGAGAGGCACGCGTCCCATCCACTCGGACATGGTTAGCCCGCCTAAGAGCGAGAGAGACAGACATAAAAAATGAAAGGCACGCGTCCCTTCCACTCGAGCACAGTTAGCCCACCTAAGAGCGAGAGAGAGAGTGAGAGAGATACATCCTTTTTCCTACTATACGAATAATTTTAATGTGAAATTAAAATTATTTTACCACTCAAAGTCGTTGTCACGTAAAACTTTCGCCCGTATACCGACTTTACAGGCAACCAATTTTTTTTACTCAGGATTGTGCCTGACCTATATTGTCGCGGTGGAGATGTGGCCAAGGACAATGGCTTCGGTGCGTACACCCCAAACATGGAAGGAGAAAACGCTGGTCAACCTGGCCTGGTCTTCGAACACTTCGATTTGAACCATTCTGTACCAGGTGATTAATATATTCTTACAAACTTGGAATAAAAGTGGATAGAAGAGTCAGTCAGTCAATCAATTTTCAAATAGTGAAATATTTTCTAATACGTAGTAAAAGTGTGGGAGAGCCATGCTTCGGCACGAATGGGCCGGCTCGACTGGAGTGATACCACGGCTTCAGAGAAAACCGACGTGAAACAACGTTGTGTTGTGTTTCGTCGTATGAGTGAGGTCACCGAAGGCCCAATAACTCCCCCCTCCCCCCCCCCCCTCCTTTCTTCCCCGGTCTCCGCAATCCCTGAATTTCCAACAATCCTCAAACTCCTAATCTCTCAAAGGCCGGTAACGAACTTCTAAAGCCTCTGGTGTTCCAGTTGCCCATGGGTGACGCTGATTGCTTACCATCAGATGATCTGTCTGCTGAAAAAAAATGTTAGGAGTAGTACATGATATAGAATGATTGTACTTTGTATATAGGCTTGCGCTTGCGTATTACATGAGAATGAGACGGCTCGTGTACCTAGTACATGACACAGCTTAATGTACTTTGATTTAACACTCCGATAACTTCAACACAGGTGTACTATCGATGGTGATTACTCCGGACGGTGAAGCCACTGGTCAGTTCAACATTATATTCAAACCGCTACCACAGTTTGATAAGAGACACGTGGTCTTCGGTAGGGTAAGTTCATTTGGACATTACTTTTCTTATACTATTATATAAAGCGGAAGTATAAAGAGTTTGTTTGTTGAACGCGCTAATATCTGTAACTACAAGTCTGATTTGAATAATTATTTTTGTGTTAGATAGCGCATTTATCGAGGATAATCGACCAATAGGAGCTGAGCAGAGCGTGTGAAACCGCGCGGAAGTAGCTAGTTTATTCATATTTTTTTAAACGTGGAACCTTACACTAGGATTTTCTCCTGTGTCGTGGGTGCGTTTACAAACATACAAGTTCACATACACATGACACCCAGACCCGGAACAACAATCTGTGGATCACATAAACAATTGTTCCGCTAAACCCGCTACACGTTGCGCGGCAGCCAGTTGCCCAGCCACCGCACCAACCGTGCAGTCGTAGTCCACTTGAATGCCATCTTGTATTTACATGAGATATTTAGTTAAAAACAGTGACTGTGTTACCACTAACTGGAAGAGCTGAAGGTCGAATGCAGTGGCGTAATGTTAAGGAGTCAATGCATAGCACTGGACGGAAATGGACTAATGATTATAATAGAAATGTTTACCAGCTGTACTTAGTCGCAATTAAATTTATTTTTTGCTTCTCATTCATAACATCGCTCTTTTATCCTCGAAGGTGTACGCAGAGGTCCACATTACGGCACTTAATTAATGCCACTGTACAATGTAACACTCACTTGTCACTATTTATGTTATGAGTCCCATATAATAAGGGTGAGCGATTTATCATATACCAGGCACAATTCAATTTGAGATTTTTTTAAAAAACCCTAGTATTATTTTACCCGAACCGGGAATCGAACCCGAGTCCCATTGGCCGGCAGTCGCACTACACTAGCGACGACTCGGCCAACGAGGCTGTTTTGGCTTCTCAGTAAAATTAATATTTTCTTTCAGATTGTAGCAGGACCAGCCCCTACACTGGAACGTATCAGTGCGCTAGGGCTACCTCTAGGCACAACTACCACTGATTGCATAATACTTTCATGTGGTTGGTTCACTAAATCCGGTCGGTATAAAGAGGGCAGCCCTAACACTATCAAATTCCCGCCTAGACGTAAGAAGAGATGATTGTCAAATTGCTAGAAGTTATGTAAGTGTGAATTTAAAAAAATATTTTTAAATTGAATTCACTATTATCTGTAACTGTACTTCGTCTCCCATTATGTCGAATCAGTCGGTGTTTTGGTGTTTTCTTTTGTTTACTTTTTATATGATTTTTTTTTATAATAAAACATAATACCTGACGTAATTATCTTTTTTATCACAACATATAACTGAGTCAAACAGCTAAATGTCATTAACCGAAAAAAAATCACGAAATAGCTGCAATCACATTTTTATTGCAAAAATACGTTATAATTATTTTTTATAAATAAATAGAAAAGTCCGAAGGCACACGATCAAATCAAATCACAAATGGCTACACATTCATAATCATACAATTAAGGGCTCGTACACAAAACTGCGATGCGATGCCATGCGAATTCGCACCGCAAAAAATTACGATGCGAATTGCTGCGATACGATTTCATGCAACAAGGCGTCTCCCAGGGTATTATAATTGAAAATATTTTAAATGAAAACTAGGTCGTGACATGGATCGTAAAAAGAAGTGTGCTCTTCTGTTATTTCTTAGGAGATACAGAAAAAAGAAACGAAGAAGATTTTGGGAAGATAAGAATTTGATGCGGGATGCGAATCAAGTCGCAACTTCTTGCGATGCGTAGAGGGAGCTCGCACGTTTTTACGACGTCGCATTGCAGTTTTGTATACGAGCCCTAATACTCGATTCCTTACAAGTCATCAGTTCATGTCCTCATTACGTCGTCATTCTATCTTTACGAACAGTCCGCATGATAATATCAGGGCCAGAATCTGGAATAAACAAATTACACAATTATGATCTTTACCAAAATTAAAGGAATAGCGATGATGACAGTTAGTTAGGTTAGTTAGGTACGTAATTAAAAAATATTAGACATACATTTTGTAGTATAAGAAAACAATCTGTCTATACATATAATAAAATCGTAGGGAAGTGAAAACTGTACATCGAATATTTTTTTAAAAGAATGCTTTGGGCGTGATCTACAAACGGTACCAAAACCAAAAACATAGTTTTTTTTAATTGTTTATCTGTATGTATATCTGGGATGAACTCAAAAAGTACTGCATGGATTTAATGAATATTACTAACAGGTCGGGTCAACATATAGGCTACATATTATAACGCTATTAACTACGGGGGAGTAGATGTGAATAACTGTTTACGCGTACGAAATCGTGGGCTCAACTAGTACTGAGATAAAACGATTTAAAGTTTAGGAGTGGGAGCTAGCTACTTTATTTTATTGAATAAAAAACGTACACAAAAGTGACGTCATGCGAATTTTCACATCAATATAATTATCGTCGAAAGTGTTGGTTTTCGTAAGAAAATATAAAATACGGGACTAATGTTTTAAGTAATCTATCAGACGAACATTAAAATAAAAAATAGTCGTTTGCCTTCAGGAACAGGAACACACTTAGCAAAACTAATGATGCAATTGAATTTAGGCAGATGCTTCATAGCTACAATTTAAAACTCGGCATCAACGAGCCAACGCGTTTGTCAAGCAAGACATGCATTGACAACATTATATTTAATTTTAAGGGATGTACAGCAAAGGTAACTGAATTTGCATTATCGGACCATACAGCTCAGGTGCTAAGATGCCCAGTTAAGCCAACTTTGCTTCTTGTGTCGTGGAACATAGAAAAACGAGATTACTCTGCGGATAACATTGATAAGTTCAGGGATTGCATCAATGCCCTCAATTTTAATGATGTTTATGATAGTACAGACCCGAACTTGGCATTTCATGAATTCTTTGACTTATTTATTCTGTTTTATAACCTTTGTTTTCCCATTGTTGAAATAAAAATATCAAACAGACATCGACCACTATGGGTTACTAAAGGCCTTAGGATATGCTGTAGGCGTAAACGTCAATATTTGTGGGAATACCGGAAAAAACCCACAGGGGAAAACAAAAGTAGATTTCTGGCTTTGTCCGCGCGGCTAAATCGTATCATCAAGCTAACTCAAAGGTCTCGTAATGACAATTACATAAAAAATGCCCGAAATAAATCACTAGCTACCTGGAAGATAATTAACGCTAATAAACCTCATGTGCCTAAAGACCAAATACAGCAAATCCTTGATCAAGATGGGAACGTGGTATCTGACCCCAAGCAGATCGCAAATCATTTTAACTCGTCGAGTACCGGTTTTATAGACACAATTAAAGAACAATAGGTCGCGGTCACCGGTGACCGCTTGGTGTTTGACAGATTAATGACTATTTCATTGATCGGACTCCAATTTCAGTGTCCAATAAATCAAGGATTAGTATTCCATATGAACTAAATTCAATGTTTGTAGGTCCAACTACACCAGAAGACATTTTTAAAATTATTAAAGACTTAAAAAACACAAACAGCACTGGCTATGATGGTGTGTCAACCAAAATTATAAAACAAGTGGCCGTAAAACTTTCATATATACTAAGTCATATAATAAATCTAAGCATTACAACCGGTATATTTCCAGAAAAACTTAAGTTGACGATAGTAAAACCACTGTTTAAAAAAAAAGATAGATGTGACGTGAGCTGCTACCGTCCAATAGCGCTTGTACCAGTCATATCAAAGATTTTTGAGAAGGTAATCCACGACAGTATCTATAATTACTTTGAGTCTAAGAAATTGTTTTGTGATGAACAAGTGGGGTTCCGAAAAAACAAAACGATTGACATAGCGGTTTTCAATTTTCTTTATACTATACTAACTGACATGGATAAAGGTAAACAGGCGTGTGCGTTATTTATGGATCTCACAAAAGCTTTTGATTATGTAGATCACAGTATATTGTTGGACAAGTTATACGCCTATGGAGTGAGGGGAAATATGCATGATTTGATTAGATCTTATTTAAGCAATAGAACTCAAATAACCCAAATAACTAAGATATGTCCTATAACTAAAAAGGTAGTTAACCACTCATCCTCATGCAGAATAGTCAGGTCGGGCATTCCACAGGGAACAGTGGTGGGCCCACTTCTATTTATTGTATACATAAACGACCTTCCAAAATATTCAAAATACAAAACTGTCCTATTTGCAGATGATAGCACAATACTTTTTACCGGAAATGATAAAATTGATATGGAGACAGAGATAAACATGACTCTCGGAAATATAATAAACTGGTTGACATCAAATAATTTATGTATTAATCTCAGCAAAACTAATTTAATGACATTTAGAAATAGATCGAATAAAATAGCCAATATGAATATTAATTACCAAAGTGATTCGGTTCAAGAAGTGGACGTTACGCGATTTTTAGGACTGAATATTGACAACACTCTAAACTTTAAACAGCACACTGACTCACTTTGCACAAGAGTAAATACATACTCATATGCACTCTATATGCTCAGAAAGACGGTTAGTAGTTCAACTCTTCTTACGGCTTATTATGGCTATGTTGCACCTATCTTAAGGTATTGTGTTATTTTTTGGGGTAACTCCACTAACAAAGACGCTGTGTTTAGAGCGCAAAAAAAATGTGTTCGAGCTATAGCTAATATAAAGCAAACAGATAGTTGCAAACCCTATTTTATAAAACTAAATATACTGACCGTACCGTGCATTTATATATTAGAAGTTGCACTATTTGTCAAAAAAAACCTGCAATGCTTTAACAAATTTAATAGTAATAGATATCAATCTAATGTATATTTTCCAGGCGCTAAAACAGCATTACTTAATAAAAGTATTTTCCGCATGGCGCCACGTGTCTATAATCACCTACCCAAGTCTGTATTGGAGATTTCAGATATAAATATATTTAAAAGAAAAATCAAAGCCCTATTAATGCCAAAAGCATATTACACTGTCAATGAGTATTTGCAGGACATGTTAATGTAAAATATCACTAATTTTTATTAAGTAAATTTCTATATCTTATAAGTTTTGCATGCATTTGATATGATATGTAAACCAATCGGTGTGGAATCTCACACATTTTTGGACATTGTCCTTTGTATGACATTTTATTTAATCTAATTCATGACATTTTATTTGAGAAATACATTTATTGACATTAAATTTTAATTAAATTGGTGACATTAAATTTTAATGAAATTGTTGACATTATATTTTGAATTCACTTATATTACAATAATTGTGTTGAAAGCTTGAATTTTGAATGTACTTGATTTTTTTTTCCAAATAACATTGTAAAACTGTAATTTTTGTAAATTTTGTAATTTGCATGCCTCAAGGCGTAATATGGTCGGAACTGTATCTACTTATGTGCTAACAACTTAATTTACCCATATTAGCAAATAAATGATTTGATTTGGAAGTAAAATGTGCGACGCCATATTTAACACGTTAAACGCCATGGGGGTCACCGGTGACCGGCGTTAGCGGAGGATTTACCTACAACAGTTTTTATTGGCATTAGTCTTAAGTTTAAATGCTTAAATACAATATTTACCATAATTAGAGCTATGATGACAGCGACAGTACCAACGTACACGGCGTCTTCTCTCAAGAAGTCAGTCACTTTGGATAAGCATCCTTCCACATACATTGTAGTCGGGTTCGGAGACGCTTTACAGTCCATCCTCTGAAACATTCGTCGCAAGTTGTTTTAGATTTAGAACTACTGTTTCAAGAAGCAAGCGAATATAAAGCTTATTACAGGTTGACGTAAAGTCTTATTTTGAAGGTAGCTTTTTTTGCTACCAAGTTTTATTAATTGAATTTATTGATACGTATTAACTTTTTGTCAAGTGTGGGAGAGCCATGCATGCAGGAGAGGCATGAATGGGCCGGCTCGACCGGAGTGATACCACGGCCTCACAGAAGACCGACGTGCAACAACGTTGTGTTGTGTTTCGTCGTGTGAGTGAGGTTACCGGAGCCCAATTAACCTCCCCCCCCCCTCTTTCCCCAATCCTTGAATCCCCAACAATCATTAAATTCCTAATCCAGAATGCCGGTAACGCCTCTAGTGTTCCAGGTGTTTATGGGTGACGCAGATTGCTTACCATCAGGTGATCCGTCTGCTCGTTTACCGGCTTATCCCATAAAAAAAGGGATTGAGATTAGTTTCGACTAATTCTAATCTTAACTAAAGACCTGTAAGATCTGTATTAAGCCATAGAGATCTACGCGATACATAATGTATATTGTTATTGTGTCTCATTCACATACCGGCAGTCAATAGGTTATTAAGCCATGTCTATATCCGTCAGTAGATAGAAGCGGACTAATGACGAACCTTTTCTCATAAGTCATGTGTCCTCGTATCATAGTTACAGTCCTCGTATTTTTATCTTCAATGTTACATAAAAAAAATTGAACTAACCTTTCCTGGATACACTTCTCGACAACAGCTCTCTGGCACATTATCGTTCCAATCCTTGTATCCTTTGACGCCACAGCACTGAAGATACGTCTGCGTGTCATCCCAAGACTTTGTGTACTCGTGCCTGACTCCATAGTATGGTATAGATGCGTACAACTCTCGGTCTAACGTTGTCATCACCTTCTCTCGGAAGACAAACTGCAAGATCCCGCCTACCAGCATCACCACGAAAATTATGAAGACCAGGATGTAGTACTGGAATTTGAATAAAATAGATTTTTATTATCAATTATGAAACTATGGATTTTTATGGTTTGATCTCATGCTTTCGATTACAACTCGCGATCAGTCAAACAAAGAGACTCAACTTATAAGGAGGTTTATTATCTTTATTGGTATGGCTGGCCTATATAAAATGACAAATGTTATGGCGTAAAAAAGAAGCAAAATTTTTTATGGCATCTATACTTTTTTGACGTCATATTGCCAGTCATTAAGTCTTGTGCGCCAACAGGGCTACCAAAGAGGTTATATGAAATGAAATAAAAAGTATGCTGCCTCAATTCCATACAACACAACTAAATCTCATTTTTTAACTACAATTTAGTGTTTTATTAAATTAACTATGCAACTATCCAGTCACTTCTTCCCTCATCAGTCATAATTCTAATACGGTTGCTCCAATCCGTACCAATACAAACGCACCGTGAGCAGCATACATTTGACCTCCTTAGCGGCACCGCAGCAGCCGAGGATGGACAGCACCATAAGGGCAGCTCCCATGGCCACCACTACCACCACTGATGCTATGAACATGTTGTTGCTCATCAGTGTGCTGGAGAAGGACCGGGATATCCATACCCACAGGCCGACTGCCAGGGCTATTATGCCGCCAAGCTGAAATATCAAAATACAAGATATTAGATTATAATTTAATTTGTAGAAATCATTATAGACCATCTAGCCTACTAGTGTATACCCGTGCATATTAATTTTTTTTTTTCAAAAATGTTTGTATTTTTTTTATTTGAAAAGTCTAGCCGATGATTCTCAAAATAGTTAGGAAATTGCCATTTACGTATTAAAAAAGTAATAAAAATTATCATTATATGGCATCTATGGTTTTTGCTACAAATTGCCAGTAGGTAACGGTTGCACAACGCAAAAAAAAAGTAGGTAGGTACATAAGGAGGTTATATCAAAGTAGAAGAATTAATTCCATTACTCCATTGATCAAATGTTATCTAAAAAGGTAGAAACAAGACAGTAATATTGTTTTACAATATGAATGCACCAAAATAAATTAATAATAGCGATTGTAATGTTGCGTTGCGTTTTGCGTGATGCTAATGTAGATAATTTGTACAATATGCAATACATCTATTAAAGGTATTTGATTGATGTAAATAGCATTAAACAACAACTTGAGTCACGATTAGAGGTCACTCATGCATTCACACTATGACATTGAGGATAATCAACGGATGCGCTGTACCTGTACCTAGGACGGCTATATATCTATGATAGTAGATAGTAGTCATCACACTCCGCAAATAGAAACTTATTAGTGTATGGGAAGAATGTAATATCACCTATGTATTTTATTTAATTATATTGACTGCCTCGTTGGCCGAGTAGTCGCAAATGCGACTGCCGGGATTATGGGTTTTAAAAAAAAACTCAGAAGTAGCACGGAGTCTGGAAATGTGCCCAGTATATATATGGCAATAGGTTCACCCGCTATTACATGGGACTCATAACATAAATAGTGAAGAGTCGGTGTTACATTGTACAATGGCATTAAATGCCGTAATGTGTACCGGGATAAAAGGCGTGATGTTATGTTATGTTTAATTATAAGTCAGGGCTTTCAAACTTTAAAATAAATAAATAAGTACTTAAATGCTATGACATAACATCACGCCTTTTTATCCCCGAAGGGGTAGGCAGAGGTGCACATTATACCACTGTACAATGTAACACCCACCTTTCACTATTTATGGTATGAGTCCCATGTAATAGGGGGTGAGCCTATTGCCATGCTATTTTATATATTAGCCAAAACTAGGATAATATCGAAGTCTATCTATATCGAAACCAAAACAGACTACGCTTACTATCGGACCTTTCACTGAATATCAACGACATTTTTATTGTTATTTCGGCCATGTTTTTTCTTATAAATACAAGTGGATGTCCGTGTAATGTTAAGATAGGATCTAAATTACTTCACAGCCGTTGTTCTCCTAATGTGTTTGACTTGAAATATTGCTTAATTTTATCGCTAGGATGTTCAATTCGGAGTAGAAAAGAATAATCAGAGATAACATCTAAGGTTACCTCTAACTCATTTAAATGTTAATGTTTTTGTTTGTTTATCTAAATTAAGGTCCAATCCTTACAATCCCCTAAAATACCGGTACCCCACTTGTAACTCTTCTGTGATGCGGATGTCCATGGGCAATGCTGATTGCTAACCATCAGGACATCCGTCTGGTCATTTGGCCCACTATGACTATCCAATAAAATGGATTTCATTCAACGTTAGTAACGTTAGTAAGCTAAAAAATAAAGCACTAATTAATGAAAGTATAAGTACCATCATCATCTAATGATCATCTAATCATCTAATGATGATGATGGCACTTATACTTTCATTAATTACCCACGTGACCACTGCTGACCAAAGGCCTGTTCTCACACGAAGAAGGTTTGAGCATTAATCACCACGCTAGCTCAATGTGGGTACGATTTCAAACTTATACAAAAACAAATTATAAGGTTTAGGTCATGGTGTTCAATTAAGATTAGGTTATGGTATCACCGTTTGTCAACGATTAGACACCATGACCTAATCTTACTTGCCGTTGGTAAGTTTCGAACCCGACGCGCTTCTCATTCATGGGAACCTTCAGTCCTCCACGACATAAGTACATTCTTAACCAACTTTAATAATAAATGAGTTTTCACAATATAGTATTTGTTTGTAAATAATGGGTACTTACAAAAGTGACTACGTTGATGCATATTAGCGAGATCTTCATGCACCGACCGCATCTGTTCATTGCACCTCCCATTCCCATGGCGAAACTGTGAATTGATACCAAAGAATAATGAAAAAATATTAAGTAATTTAAATATTTATCAAGCTGACTGGAAAACAAGGAATTGGAGAAATCGATCTACCCGTACCAGTCATGATGCCGTGACCAAAAGTTATAGGGTGCCTTGGAAATGGGGTGGACACCGTGAAGCTTATATCATTATTTTATAACATGCAAACACCCTATGCATTTCAAAAGCAAAAACTACTATACGGATTTAGATGTAATTTATTTTATAGATAGATCACTACGCGTACCAACCAACACACAGGACACCTTTAATAAGTTTTATGACGGAAACGCATGCGACGTGGGTGTTTTTTTATTATTTTAAATATCAAGCCCTTAATGTTTGTGAAATGAACCTTATTATGGGTAAATAACATTGAAAATCGAACAAATACAGATACAGTAGGTTGTCTTGCTGGCGTGCATTAACTAAAAATACACACGTCATGTTTACGTTTTTACTTACAAAAGGATACGTGGCCGTTGCTTTGTAGTTCCTTGTTCCCCTAGGGTCATTAAAAAAAGGTTTCACCCCAAAACAAGCCACGTGTTAGGGAAACAGGCAGGTGCATTGATTAATTAAAATGATAGATAAGGTTATTATGTTTTCGGCTTACTCACATAACTGGTTGACGAGGAACTCGACTAGTTTCAAGCCATGCTAGAGCCTCATATTCATGAGCAGCATACCGCGACCCGCGACCCGCGACGCGGCGACTGTCGCGCTGATACGCATCAAACAGTTACTTGAGAAAGCCGAAAACATAATAATTAATTTAGTATGTCTCACGAAAGTTATAATATAAACAAGGCTATTTAATGTGATTGATAAGTTTCTATGTTTTGTGTCATAGTATCCCCAAGCAGTCACCGGTGACCGCTCTCCACTAACTAGAACTACATTATAGACCTTATTTCCGATGTTTAGAGACTACTTTTGTATGAACAAATTAAGGGGATGATATTTCAAATTATTTAAAAAATTCATAAAATTAAACCTCTGTTTAATTATAATCGGACTGGTTCGTGCTTTGACCTTACCTATACTTATTATAAAACTGATGAGTTTGTTTGTTTGAACCATTATTTTGTGTTGGATAGTCCATTTATCAAGGATCTACGATCAATAGGAGCCGGGCAGAGCGGGTTAAGCCGCGCGGGAGTACCTAGTAACTTGTATGACGTTCCCATCTTTTTAAATGTCTCATTAAAACTACCATACAAAAGTCAGCATATCACTCAGTCTTTTTTAAAGTCCCTAGCACCATTCCCTACTTCTAACAACCTCACTTAGTTCTAAACAGTGAAAGTTGATTACACCAAATCCAATTGTTTGCAATCTACTCACGTACGTGGGACAGTACTTGCATGCATGCCTTGGTTTCTCTTAATGAGAGTAAAAGTTTAATGGGTGATTGTGATCTTAACCTTAGCAATGAGATAACCTTGCCACTAACCGCAATTGCCGAAGGCGTTAGTAGACTTGTTGCCTCATGATTATAGAGACCCGTTTGTAAAACTTTAGGAAAAGAGTTCCTAAGTAATGTTTTTAATATTAGTGGAATATGCCCTTAATTATTACAATCTTTTATTTAACTTGCAGCGTATGTATGTGTTGTGTGATTGTGTGCGTGTGCAGTGGAATCTTGCAATTGAATTTTGAAATAGATTATGATATCTTTAAATGATTGAGCTGATTTTTTATGCCTACGCGTTTACGACGTGTTTACGACGACGATATGACGATAATTAATGTTGAGCTGCATAAAAAGTTTTGTTTTAAATAGCTTTTAATTTAATTTTATATTAGGTATAAACATAATTGGGTGCAGTGTGTACTAAAATTTGATTTAATGTCCTTTTGAACATCTGTCAAAAATCTAGATCAATCTGGAGACAGTTATTAACATCGGCTTTAAGCCAGCAATCAAAGTGATCCCGAGTCTAGAATATTTAGAATATTTGATACAGAAACCAGATACTTTAATGAAAAAGATTTACTGATAACGATATTTGATAGTTTGTATCATGGTACTTATTAAGACCTGGTTCAATCTTCGTGTGGGTGAAGTTACGTGTCAAATTATGTTATCCTTGAACCATTTAAAGCGAATACGTCTAAGATTAAGAGTGATAAATAATTGTTCCTCGGAATGGAATTTCTAAAGCAGTTCATATTGAATGGCTAATTACACAGACATACATAGATCTAGCTAACTAATACATTAATACTGTGTCTAAGCATTCTTTTAAAGGCTTTTGTGTTTACAACAGTATGAATGGAATGTTACCTGTTTCTTTCTATAACACAAAAAGTATATACGAAACGGATTTAAACATCTTATAAAATAAAAACTATCATAAGTATCTAATCGTACCTACACTAATGAACAACACAATGATATGACAAAATCCTTGTCGTGCCGCTAATGCAGTGTTAGAATATAAACTCAAGAGTAATTAATCAAGATAGTACCTGCTACATATGAATTAATTAAGCTTGTATACGGTCCATATTAATGTCAATATGTGGTCGACATTGCAATACATACATAGGTCGATACATAATCTAGTATGCGACGATATAAAACAGATAAATAAGTACCTAAGCAAAAAGTTCTCACCTCCAATGAGTCGATCGATGTTCTCTCCGAACTGTTAGATGGATGAATCTATTTTGTATGTTTATCATTTTATTATTATTGTGTTTGTTATTAAGTACTTAAGTATTGAATGACATTTGGTAATGTATTTGTGCTTTAATGTGGGTATATCTACAAATATCATGATCAACTTACAAGGTAGGTAAGCTACTGCGTTAAACGGCAATAAGAAAACAAATATTTAGTTCTTATGTAGGTACCTACATAGCAGCGTAGCCTAGTACCTACGGTGTGTTTGAAAGCAGGTTCTTATTACTTACTTATCAAAGATATTGTGGTACTTATATATCTAATAGTAAATATACCTGCCTAAACCGTATGATTCAGACTAGTTTACTGTTAGTGTCTGGGAATGTTTTTGGATTTATATACCTACAACAGTACCTACTAACAATCAGACCTAGTGTACCTGTGTATTCTCTAAACACTAACAAGTATCTAGGTACATACATATATTCAATTGATAGCATATATGAAACCGTGTGACATTACTATAATAGCTTCATCGTCACTTGTTTACCCATTGTCAAAAACTAAGGATCCTTTTAATATCGCACAAACAAACGAAGCATTTAAAAAAAAAATCAGCCGAACATAGTACCTCCTCCTTTTTTTGAAGTCGGTAAAAAATAAACTACACGATCAAAGTTATTGCCTGTTGCTTTTCTAGGTGTTTAGATAAGTTATAGACCACTGGGTAGGTACCTATGTAATGTACCTATGTGTGTCATTACCTACATGTCAAACGTAATGCTATGTATGTCATGCATGCTTGTATTACGACCACTTACAGAGAGGAGCTATGCGAACCGCTCGGACGCACTCAAGGTAATACCCGGATACCACAAGGTCCATCTAATCCATTCTCTTAGCGATGTTTATAAGTGAAAGTGGCATTGTATGACGATTTATATAAAACAATAACATAGGAACCATCGAAAACGTGCAAACTGAAGTTAAAAGTTTGAAAAGATTGATGTCAACATCAACATAAAATTTTGTTTGGCGCGTTGTGCTTGTCGCGTCATGGAGTTTACTTACATTTAGTCACGAACTCCGATATCGTCTTGTTCAAACCGTTAGTCGAAACAGTTTCACTTTACCATAACTCTTACTTCTCACTACAGTTACGTTAATTTGTTCGGTTCATTCACAAATTGTTTGTTATTTGAGACGGCGAGTGCGTCGTGGCCGGTAGTACAAAGTCAACTGGTTTGAGTGAACCACGCGGGCGACGCCCCACCAACCAACTTGTAGGAAGAATGGGACAGCCTTCGAAGGGTCCTATAACGTGTTTATATGTTTGCAACTAGGTCAGGTGTGTTGCGTGTAATGCTGCGATTTATTTACAATAGAAGATCGGAAGCTAATGATAAAGTCTGATTTAAAGCCTTCCGCCTATATTATTTACTTACAAGAATAAAATATTTTAGCCTAAAAATTGACGTCGCTTTACTTACGGAACCCGTTTGAAATAACCGCCTATAACGTACATATCTTCTGTATTGGTGTTATAGGGTAAGTAAATACAATCAAGTATTGTGATTACCTACGTACCAGACAGCATTTATTACACTATGATTGAGATGGGAGAGAGAAAACTAGAAAAAATAAGAAACAATATACATATACCTATTGTAAAATCAGTCTTAACTTACATAAAATAAAGTTCACTATCGTTATACTTTATCAGTCTTACCTCACGCTTTATAATTTCCGAAGGGGTAGGCAGAGAAACGCATATTAGGTAGTTATTAGTTAAACAATTCAGGAATGATCATGAATGAACCACACACTGGTCACAATTCCGGATTCCGTGGTAGGTACTTAGTAGTACAAACACTTTGACCGGCACTTAGTCTGATAATCGAACCCTAGACTTCTTGTTTTGCACTCGGGCAGGCGCTTATAACCACTCGACAAACGAGGCAATCAAAAATTATTCTTTATCAACATCTTCTTTATGCACCTTGCAATAACCAGCACAAGGTGCTTCACCTCTTGTCTGTCGGAGCGCAGATCTACGCTAGAAACAATCTGTTTTCTATTGTGTCTCATATATCGACAGAGGTTAAAGATATAAACAATAGTAACTGTTATCTGTTACTAATATAATTACTCAAATCGGTTCATGAACCTTGACTTAATCGGTGTACCTACATAAATAAAAAAAGCAACAAAAACATACGGACGAATTGAGAACCTCCTCCTTTAGGAAGTCGGTTAAAATAAAACAACAGTGTGTCACGGTTTCTTTTATTAGCTTTTTGTTAATAAACGTTCACCTCAACTCAACATAATTACAAAGTGATGGTAGAAATGTATTCAACGCGGTTTTACATCAATATGAGCATTCCTGCGTCTACTCTACTAACAACTAAGATGTCATTGAGCTTTGGTTTACATTAAATTATATTCTGATGTTGCAATCAGTTTAGTAAATAAGTTTTAGAATAAAAACTCAAGAGAATATGACTTGCGCGCGACCAGGCAAACATCACACGAACAAAAGTGGCGTCAAATTGTTTAAATTCTACTTAAACGTTAATCTATAAACATCTAAAAGATAGGAACATAAGGCCGTTCGTCAAGATTATATTTAGGCAGACCACAAGACGTCACTGCATCAATGCGGACAATACTAGATTGTTACACTTCACCGAGTATTTAGATAATATTTATCTACACTTACAAAAACTATACACAATATGTATGACCAAAAATACCCGTCTTATACAAATCTTTGAATAATTCTAAACAAAACCTAAGGCATAAGACCTAAATGTTCCTTCCTGATCGCGCGAAAGTCATAATGAATGTGAAACTATGCAATAAATAGACAACCCAGTGCTTTGAACTTGTGAAATATAACATGATATCGAATAGAAATCGATAATAATAAGTGTGTACCAGCGTGAGTCCCTCGGACAACTCACAGATCCTATTTGATCCCACCATATATTCTCACCTGCTACCGGCTGACCCAGCTATCACTAATGAGTTTCATTCTTCGTTAAAATAAGTAGCAAGTGCGAATTATTAGTGTCGCATATAAATTCATCATAGAAAAAAAACTATAAATACATCTCGTTTGTTGTTAACTTAATATACAACACGAAGCAGTAAACGGTAGGTGATTTCGTAGGTACAATTATTTATATCTATTTAGACACGGATATAAAATAAAACAAATACATTTCAAACAATATTTCAACTGAAATTATAATATATTACATGTTTTGCGCTAAAATTACAACAAAATACACTTATACAAGCAACCCGCTACTGCTGTTGGTTACATACGGACTGACAATAAATTAACGCATCAGAGTTACATCTTTTTTAATATTACATTACCTATATTTAAACATTAAGAACGGTTTAATTAGACCTAGATACACAACGACCTGCGTAGCTTCTCTTATAAATTGATTAGCGAAATGTGCAACATGTATATTGTACTCCAACAATAATAAACAAGAGGTTCAATTCTGAACTAAAAGCAATGTATTGGTAACTTGGTCAAGCATCCTGACATGAATTGATACAAATACAAAAATCAGTTCATTGAAAGGAGGCTAGGCAAGCTACCGTTTTAGAACCTAGAACGAGATTCACTAGTCTACAAACATGTCTCAGTTTAGAATATACATGTTGCACAAAGAAATACTTAACATAACATAACATCACGCCTTTTATCCCCGAAGGGGTAGGCAGAGGTGCACATTATGCCACTGTACAATGTAACACCCACTTTTCACTATTTATGTTACGAGTCCCATGTAATAGGGGGTGAGCCTATTGCCATATACCGGGCACAATTCCAGACTCCGTGCTATTACTGAGAATTTTGTAAAAACCCAGTAATACTTTGCCCGACCCGGGAATCGAACCCGAGACCCCTTGGCTGGCAGTCGCACTTGCCACCACTCGGCCAACGAGGCAGTACTTAACAACGAATACTTAACAATAAATAATAATATTATAATTTCAGACATGGTCTAATGGTTTATAAATACTTTTCTTTCGATTTCCGATTCTTAAACTAAAACAAATAAAAATATAGAAGAGCATTCATAATTCGTTAACTTGGCACTACGAACCTCTGGTTCAGAACTAATACGAGTGTTCTGACGTAATGCGAACAATATACTACATGCAACCAATCTCTTTCGATGGCCATAATTATTATAGTAACCCACATTGTTGTACAAACCTGACATAAATCCAGTAATTTATAAAAGCACGCCTTAATTACTACTTCTATACAGATATATCTAAAATATACCTGCATTTTCTTTAGATCATAGAAAAAACAACAATAGATATACAATTTTAAAAGAAGACAACAAATAAATGCAAATTACTTGATAATAATTTTTCAATATGCAAACGCATGTATTTAAAACCTTTGTACAAGTATAAAATAAGAAGCTACGCAGCGGCGTGTGAGCCCTTTCATTTCCCTTTATACATTAAGTGAAGAAAGTTGAAAACTCACAAACTTCCGCGTGTGATACGGAATTGAATATGAACATTTAACACGTACTTATTATTTATTATTACATACATTGTAGGGAGGTATTATAATGATGACTGCCAGAGAGAACCTTCAGTGTGACTACCAAACGCTTCGATCGCAAGTATATTTCAACTTCATTCACTCATCCCAAACTAGAAATGGAGCTGAACATACAACCGTGTCATACCGCCCATACCGGCCACCCAGAGACCGTGATTGAGTGAACTCACACTTATCTATTGGCGTGTATGTAGCCAGTAGCTGAAGTATTTCATTTAATGGAGCGCGAATCGCGTGTCAAATGTAATCGTTACCGTTGCGTAGAGTACACGAAATAAAACGCAAGTTATGCAAGTAAATAGCGGTTTGATGTTCTGTGGAAAATCTTTTGTATTCTCAGTCTTTCCAGTCAAACTTGAAGTTGTAGAAAATATGATATTAGATTGTCTTTTCTTATGTCCAAATGCAGGTCGATAATGAAAAGTGTAGAAAACAAACAACATAATCAGTTGCAAGTCATTATTCGCAATCGCTTCGTTTTGAATTAACAAATTTCACGTGAAGCTGTAATGCATTACCAGGAAACATTACAGTTCAACATTAATATTAACTGTTTAGTATTTTACACAAAGGATACTTTTACATACAAGTTCTCTGACATGGCATAATTGCACACGTGTTGTATAGTCTGTTCTTATGAAATAGTTACAGAAACGGTAACGAAATCGCAGCTCCAACCTTAAAAATGTTTGCAATAACTTTAATAGGTATATCTCAAGAAAATCCATGTAGCTGCCTTGTGTCTGATGAGTCGGGCGTGTGTGTGTGGGTGTGTGGGTGTGTGGGTGGGTCGGATGCACGTTCAGCTAGCGGAGTGGGCGGCGTCAGCTGGCGGGCCGCGCGGGCGCGGGCGCGGGCGGAGCCGCGGCGCAGCACTAGGGCCGGCGCGCCGCGAACACGCCGCGCTGCGCCAGGAACTGCGCGCCCTCCGCCGCAGACCCTGCGGGACCACGCCACCTCAATGGACTATCGACACAGCTAGTGGACCGCCGACCTAACCGCGCGCTGGAGACGGACTCAATAAAAAATACCACGTTTTCTTTCTTCTTCTTTAACCTACGGCTGGAGATGTCGCGATACGACCGCTATAATACTACGCACCTTGGTTGGGGAATGGTAGGCAATTGGTCTTGAGAATCTCCTCGTGATTACCGTAGGCACAGAACTTGACAACTACAGTCTTAGCCGAGATGCCCGTGATCTCGGCCTCGTAGAACTGAAATGGGAAAATTGTTGTTGCTTTAATTCATGCATTAATATACATCAATTCATTTAATTAGAAGAGTTAGACATGCTGATGAGATAAGACAAGGTTAATGAATGCATGTACTTACATTATTGTCCTCCCAGTAGAGCGCGAGGCAGCGGTCGCCCACCTTCCAGTTGATGTCTGCGACGCCGAGCATGGCGCGCGCCTGCTCGTTGACGGCCGCGTTCTGAAAGCCTAGCAGGGAGTTGGCAAGGAAGGGTGCGCCGCGCACGCCGCCGTAGTCCTGCGGCCGCGCGCCGTACCCGTACTGTCGTCCCGCCGCGAAGCCCCCGGCCGCGGCGCCGGACATGTATCCCGCCACGCCGCCGTACATCCCGCTCTGCCGCGACTCCACGTAGCCGTTGGGTTGCTGGCGGCGCTGGTAGGGCTGCTCCTGGTACTTCTGCAGGTCGCTGCCGCGGCGGAAGGGCGGCGGCTCGGGCATGGCCTGCGCGGCGAGGTACGCGGCCTGCTGCTGCTTGGCGTAGACCTGGTCGAGCGGCGGGTAGTTGCGCGGCTGCTGCAGTTCCTCGACGGCGCGCTGCGTGGCCAGCAGGTTGAGGCCGGCCGTGGCGTCCACTAAGCTCTCCATAGTGCTCTGCGCATTGTTACGATAGTTCTGCGGTTGTTGAGCTTTATTGTCGTTGTTATAATTCCTCTCGCCTCGCATATTTTTACTGTCATTGTAATGGCTCTGTTGCTGCGGTGGCAAGTTGTGATATGAATTGTTATATTGCATGTTCACATTGTTAAGGTTATTAGCCTGGAATTGATTCTGATTGTGATGTTGAAACTGTTGCTGCTGTTGTTTATTTTTCTCTTCTAATTTCCTCTGGAACCGCGGTGGTTTCTCACTCTGAGCTTGGTACTTTCTGTCATCTCTATGAGAATGGTTGTCATGAGAATAATGCCCTCTTCCATCAGATCTTTGTCTGTTGGCACCATCAAACCTAGCTGCCTGATTTCTGGAGTTATTTCTACCACTATTCCTTTCCCTGTAGTTGTTTCGTTCACTTCTGTCCTCTTGTGAGTTATTCTGGCGATTACTTCTGTCTCTTTCAGGTACATTAGGCAATTTATCTTCTAAGAAGTCAAATAATGATACCTTTCCTGAAGGCTTTACTTGTATCTCCTCATCATTGTCTTTGTTTCGCCCCTTGCGTTTGGGTGGTTCCTGTTCCTTTTGCTGTTTCTCTTTACTTCTACTCTCCGAGTTATCTCTTTTCTGTAGAATCTTAAGAGCCCTATCTACATTGTTTTTAGTATATTTGAGAGCATTTTCAGCTTGCTCCTCTGAAAAGCCAGCATCAACAATCTTCTGAACATTTGCATCCAACAGGGGTTTTGTGCCTCCTCCAAAGACCTAGAATGCAATTTGTAAAAACTTTACCAGGAACAAAAAAAAAGACATCAAAAAATATGAAACTAACTTCATACTACTAATCTTATTAAAATCAAGTCAGAATGAATCAGATATTTAATTGAGGAAACATGTTTCACTTTTATCACACTTTCCAATATTAAGTAATTAACTGTACAGTTATGATATTATCACAGAATATACAACATAAATGAAACAGAAAAACTACCTTTTTGACACCGGATGATAATTTTTGAGCTTCAGCGATGGCCCCTTTCCTCTGAGCTTCAAACTCTGCATTATCTTGTTTAGCAGCTTCTGTTATACTCTTATAATTTTTCTCTAATGTTAGAGCTTCCAGTCTTTGTCCAAATGGAATCCATGGTGGAGGTCCACCATCAACACCAATACCCCCTATTAAAAAACCATAATTATGCATTCCCTAATGTGTTTACAAGCACACTTCTAACAATATTAATCGTGACTTTTGAATAAATTCTTGTAGAAAACTCATCATTTTTATTAGTAATGGTCACCAATCAATAAGTGTTAAATATTTCTAAGTTTTTTAAGACTAGAATTATGCAATTCAACAATGATATTGTTATTACGTTTTATCCTATCGAAAGCAGGGAGGTCATTGGCAGAAGCTAATAAACAGTATGACACAAAAAACAAGACTAAATAACTGACAACTCACCTCTTGTATGTTTAGCAAGACTCCTATTTAGTTCCCATTTCTCAATCATATGAGTAACCTTTCCACCCAAAACTGATATGACTTCAGGCACTAACCACACCACACCGTGACACACCTCTAGGCCCTCATTGTTCAACAACACCTTGGTACCCGGTGGAGTGTTAATACTTAAACTTGGTATAGGACTAGTTTCTAGGCCTGTACATGTCGATTTACCATCATGTAACGTTAACTTTAGCATTCGAGGGGCCGATGTAGACTCCTCATTAGCCTTCGGAGCTGACACATTTCTGACCTTCTGTATTTGTAATATTACTGGCTTCTCTAACTTCGATGGTTCTTTAGTAAAGTCTTCAGGAAGCGCAGCATCCCCTATATCTCTTAAATCATACTAGAAAACAATAAGAAATTGAAATTAATACAACCAGAACCAATTGAGCATTAGACCTTGACAATAATAAAGATAGCCATGTTAGCCACTCACATCTAACGCCTTCTTAGTAAGAATATTTATATCATCTATTTGACCATTTTCACTAACAATATCAAGACCTTCTTCACTTAGGTGCCTGAAAAAACCAAATATTAGTTTCACATTGGATTTTCACAGATTCTTCAGTAAAACAATGACTCCAGCGAAAATATAATTACCAGCCAAGTTCACATAAATTTTCCCTGAGTGACATGTTTTCATTAATGGTTAAATTAACATGACTTCAAGAAAAATAATTAAAAATAAAACTCGCGAGACATACGGCACCACCATCAATCAAATGACAGCTACGTACGGCAAAGTGTACCACAGGTTAAATATCATTACATGTTTCAAGATTTGTCTATGACAAAGTAATAAAATCAATTTTATTACTATTAAATTACATTCGATAGAATCGATACTGTCATGCTGATCCTATAATCACATATTAAATTACTTTGATGGACTACTTTTCCAATAGCAGAAAATTGGGAGGCCTACACCCGCAGTGACAGGCCAGTGGGGCCAGTCCAGTGAGACAGCTGTTACCAGTAGGTTGTCAGTAGGAGTATCCTGGCTAAAATGTAGTGTGTGTGCAATGTGTGTTTATGTAGGTAGATAATAAATTAATAAATACATTTTTATTCAAAATGTATAAAGATGACTGAATGAAGCGAAAAAGGTATGTAGGAATCGTAGTAATTGGCGTTCCTTAGTATCTGCCTACCCCCATGGGAGACAGGCGTGAAGTTATGTATGTATAAAGATAAAAAATACATTTTTGTCTTAATTCTACATTATTGCTATGACATGTCACAATGAATCAATGAGATTATATGACTGCACGGTTGGTGCGGGACTGAGTAACTGGCTACCGTGCAACGTGTCGCAGATTCGATTCCCGCAGGGAACTACTGTTTGTGTGATCCACTAATTCTTGTTTCGAGTCTGGGTGTCATGTTTATGTGAACTTAAATATTTATAAACGCACCCATGACACAGGAGAAAATACTAGCGTGGGCAATGTTTTTTAGTAAAAAAGAAATAATAATTGTGGAGCATTGCTTTACCAAGAACGTTAAAAAAAACAACAATTTACAATAGGTTTGCTCTATTCCTTGGCACCTACGTCTTACTCTTGTCATTGTCAAATATGTCAAATAAGACATCAGCCAATGACAACATAATGTTGGTAAAACCTGCTTAGATTACCTACTAATAGAAGAATTCCAATCTAACTCTTAGCTCCTTCAGATATGTCTTATTTTTCAATAATACCGGCAAAGAAACATTCTACTGGAATAATTTTTGACAACGTCACAATTCAATTCATCTAAGCTGCTTACTGATAAGCAGAAACCTATTATCATTCGTTTCTTGGACTTTCACAAGTAGTAGACAACCCAGATTATTACGAATTTAAAGGACATAATATTACCGATCATAATGTCATCTGTAAGTTATCTCAATAATCTAATTTTAATCATCATATTCAACTCCTTGTATTGTAAGTGTTCAAATTATGTTTTCTATTTCCAGACGCACATTTTCAACGTTGAAATGACATGCGAGGGTTGCTCAGGAGCTGTAGAAAGAGTACTGAACAGGCTAAAGGGTCAGGGAGTAGATAATGTATCTATAAGTTTGCCAGAACAAAAGGTATCAGTCACATCTTCACTAAGTGCTGACCAGTTATTGGATGTAATAAAGAAAACTGGAAAGAAAACGACATATGTTGGCACACAATAGTTTTGATATCTTTGACAAAGGAAAAGGTATATAGAACTCAAGACCAGCATAATCTTATACAATCAATCTATATATTTGTTTTATATTAAATCAATTACAGTCTCTCCAGATAAGAAAGCATAGAGACTGCTTTGAGCCAAAAGTTGACATTATACTGATTTTGAAAAATGTTTTATCAATATTTCAATATTATATAGTTTTATCATGTATGTTATTTTTAAATTGATGTTATTTTACTAAGTACCTATATATATAGATTGTAATTACTACTCAGTATTTTAATAAACATTTTTATTATAACAAGTTTATCATTGACATAAAAATAAATATTCATTTAGTAGATAAAGTTAATTCAAATACATTTACTTTCCACATCTTTCCTTGCCCGCAACATCCTCTAAAGTGTTCAGTCTCAGGTCAACAAGATCTACAGCTTCATGGAGAGCATTTAAATGATCAACTATGGCATTAACTGTGGGCAATACATCAGCACAATCACAATCCTTGTCTCTTTGTGAGTCACAATTGAAAGTAGCATTCAATTTCCTCACTTTCTTCAAATGTGTATCAAATTCATCATTCATTAATTTGAATCCACTGTTTAAAGGGAAATTTCTCTTCCTGCCCACCCACTCAATAATTCCACTAGTGTAGCAAACATCATTGTCTCTCAGTTTGATCATGCCAAACAGGTCACCTTGGCCACTTACAAAAGCACTCCTTGTGGACCTATCCATTACTGAGGGTACTGTGTAAGTTGCAGGGCTGGGTGGAACACGAGGAATATGACTAGCATGTCCAACACTACTGTTGAGAGAACAATCCCCAGATGAACATTCTGATTGTGTTGGTGGAATCCTTGGTAGGACAGTTTTGGCAGAGTTTATTCTTGGGCTAACAATTGAATATGAACCTCTTAAACAAGGTTCAGTTTGGCTGCACAATCTTGGTTCAAGCATAGTACTGTTGCTAAGGGGATCTTCTAAACAACTCAATCTCATGGATTGGTTACACTGGCTTGCATCATCCATGTGGACAAAGGTAACAGCAGGAATCTTATGAGTGTGATAACATTGGTACCAAATTCTTGTGCCCTATTTTATGGATGATGAAAACTGTATTAATACTTGGGACTCATGTTTCTAATTCAGTATGAAGAAGAACGTTTTAAGGCATAGCTATGATTGCAGTTTTCTCTGAATTCAATTTTTTGAAATGCTAGCATGTACTTGTTTGAAACAGTTCTCAATGAATAGTCCTGAATGGGGAAAGCAATGGGTTTAGAATTTTATAAATAATTTAGATTTTAGAAAATAATATAATCTCTACACCATACTTATACTTACAAATTATTACTTTATATACATATAATTATATTATATTTACTAAAAGCTGCTACAGAACTGTACATACTACATCTAAGTAAGTACTATCTTTTTTGAGCAACCTGACTCTTATCTTTTGATGCACATGTCAGTTTAGAAGATTGCGAATTAGTTTTGGGTATAGTTGAACCATTGTCTGCAATATTTTCCTTTAAGTCACCTGCCAGTTCGGTGAAATTAGTCTTCCATATGAAAACCTGTAATAAACAATTAACAGTTTAACACTTGTGCAAATATGAACCACAGATATACATTAGCACATATGTGTAAAGCCTACCATGCTTTGAATACATTATCAACTTTATTACAAAACAATAACATTCAGAGGCCTTAGTACGCATTCGGCGCTCTGATTAACCAACCAATCAGAGCAAGGAACGCTTTTGGTTACTTTTAACGTAAAAAAATCGTATTTAGCCTAGATTGCCAAGCACGAATAAGTATCGCATTCGTAACGTAACAGTATCGAGCGCGTTCGGCGCTCTGATTGGCCGGCTCAAGTGAACCAACCAATCAGAAAGCTTAACTCGCTCGATACTGTTACGATACGAATGCGATAGTTATTGTTGTTGTTAGTGCTTGGCCGTCTGTAAGAAGTTCTGTTTTGAAGTGGTGTGTACACACAAGATTACAAGACCATTTTGTAATCACTAGTTTTATATTAAAACTTAAAAGTGATTTAAAAAAAATACTTAGTACCAATTTATCATCTCCTGCTGAGGCAAAAGTTTCCCCTGTAGCTGAGAAGTTGACAGCATTAATGGGCCCAGTGTGTCCACTGAGAGTAAATATCGGATGCCCTTCCAATAAATCAAGTATCTGAAACAAAAAATTACATCACCACATACACATAGTATAAAACAAAGTCACTATCCGTAGTCTGTCTGTCCCTATGTATGCTTAGATCTTTAAAACCGCGTACTTTGATGCGGTTTTTTTTAATAGATAGAGTGGTTCGAAGTATAATACATGTATTTTGCACCTGTGCGAAGCCGGGATGGGTCTGTAGTTTACAATAAAAATGACTGGCATTAAAATTATATCTAACATTGCCAAGCACTAACTCATTTGCAAATTTTTGTTGAAGATATTTCAACAGTAAATAAACAAATATTTAATTCTAGACACCAAACTTATTTTGTTGATCATTACTGCTTACCTTCATCTTCCCATCTTTACTTGAAGTCAATATGTAGCTTCCACTAGGATGAAAAGCTATCTGTGTCACTGCATCATTATGAATACTGAAAAATAAAACCAAAAAATTTATCTTTATAAATACAAATGAATTTCGGTTTATAAGTCTCGCTAAAACTCGAGAACAACTGAACCATTTTAAAAAGGGAAGGTTAACAAAGATGATAAAAGAATTTAAGGCAGTTCAATGTATGCCAGGTCAGCTAGTACTTAAACTGTCAAACACCGAGCGGTCACCGGTGACCGCAACCTATTGTTCTTTAATTGTGTCTATAATGACGGTACTCAAAGAGTTAATGAACTTACCTATAATATTGAACAAGATTATGTGTCCGTACATCATATAACTTCACATTGCCATGCGAAGTACCAACAGCAATATAACACCCCGATGGGTGCCAAGCCAAACAGAGTCCATGGCCTTTCTGGTCCTTATATGTGTGGATACATTCTCCATTATCCAAGTTCCAAAGCTTGGTAGACTTGTCATCTGAACATGATGCTATAATTGATCCATCACTCGAAACGCGAGCACATCTCACCCAGTTAGTGTGGCCAACATAAGAAGCAATGAATTTGTGCTTATCCGTAGACCAGATCTTCACTATTTTGTCATCAGAAGCAGTGATTATCTAAAAGTTTAAAAAATGTTTTAATTTTTTTTTTGTTTTTGCTCATCATCAATTTTACATAAAAATAAAACATGATATAGATCACCAGGCTTCGCTTCGAGAAGACACACTCAATCTCACAGTGTATAAATATAATACTATGTAAGAAATACATAGCATTAAATTGATTTTATAAGTTTCCACAATACCTTTGTTCCATCAGGGCTGAATTGCACAGATCTCACAGTTTGTGAATGAGCTTTGAACATGCCAGTGCTCCCTGTTACAGTGGGCACCCATAGTCTAACAGTTTTGTCACGAGATGCGGATGCCATAAACTTGCCCGAAGGTGAAAACGTTACATCCATAACGGCTTCATCATGTCCTTGAAACCGGTAGCTTCTCATAGTACCACGAAGATCCCATAACTACGGTGTAAACAAACAATTTCAAGATAGGGCACAATCTAATAAGAAATTCAAGACGAAATACTAAGTGTTGTTTGTAAACGTGCATAGTTACCAGGACACTATTATCCAGCGAACTGCTAGCAATCTGTTGTTCATTAGGGCTAAAATATAATGCTGTAATCCCACTACGATGCCCTTTTAACTGCTTTTCTAAAGAAGGCTCAAGATAAGTTAACTTATTTTCCATCCTGGGAAACCGAAACAGAAACAGAATTCAAATCAAACTGCTGTCAAAGCACAGAGCATGTAATTATAAGAGGCGGAACTTAGTACATTCAATTTTTTGAGAGTTCGTAACGGCGCTTAGCCAACCACACATGTGACACAATGCTACCAACATTAGCAATGACAGTGACAATCATGACCTTGAAAAGAGTAACTGTCACGAATAAGGATGGGCAACGTATCGATATTCAGATTTCATCGATATCGATAAAATATTAAGCACGCTTTTATATAGGATTCCTGCACAAAAGTATATATTTTGAAAATTAGGAAAAAAACACTATTTTATATAATTTTACTTATTCATTTATTTACTTAATACATTCACCATATATTGTAATATTAGATTAGATACAGAAGTTGTTTCTTACAATGCCACTTTTCTGACAATCGACCTTTACATTTAAATCATTTACGCTGAAATATTCAAACGCTGGCTGATCATGCATTGCTTGCAAGGTATTTTTAAGGGGGGGGAGGGGGAATCATTTAATGACTTCGGCCGCCTGGATGAGGCGGATCAGACTTTTACTGGCTAAAAACCACCCCGTTCCTACTCCTGTACTTCGAGCCGAAAATATCATGGTTGTTAAAGATACTGGATTCCATATATTAACAACAATCTGTGACCTCCTGTTTTTAGGACCCTTCCTACAAACATGGGGACCCTGAAACTATTAAAATCATTATCACTTCCTCCAATTAACGCAAATGACAACTATTTTACTTACTCAAATGGAAAAAATTACATTGTTTATGATATACCTCATTTATTTAAATCGATTAGAAATAATTTCCTCAAATATGGGGAAATGTATATGTCTGGAATGAAGGCTAAATGGGAGCATTTGTTACAAGCAGAGGAAAAAAATAGAAACCTCTTATACCTCAGCAAAATCACTAAAGTGCACGTGGAGCCAAAATATAGGAATCACAGATTGTTGTTAATATATTGAATCCAGTATCTTCAACAACCATGATAATTTCTTTTATAATTGAGGCTAGTTTTTGGTAGGAAACTGTACCCTTAACAAAATAAAAAGCTATTGGCTGCTTAAACTTTGCTCGTATACCTTGCAACATAAATACCGATGCATGGTCAGCCAGTTGAGAACCACGTTCTACTTCCGGGCCATAGTCTTCATAACCCTCAACCTTGTCTTTACTACTATTAAAAAAGAGACGCCGTTTTAGAGCAATCTCGTCAAATATGTAAAGTAAATAGACCACAGTACTTGTCTTTTTTATCCATATTTACAGATTTTTTTTAAATGTTTTGTAACAGATTTGTTTACACCAGTGGAGACTGATATTTTTTTAAAAACATTATGCAACGTTTTTACATTTGGTAGTGACATTAGCTGCTGCAGATATCGAAAGGCTTTTGGTGACCTCTTAAATATAGCTAAGGCTCATATTTTATTTTTTGATGTCCAACGGCGACCGTTGGTCTTTCTTTTTTGATTTGCCAACGCCTACAGAACTATTTCTTTTAAGACGCCTGACTCCAATTTATCTAAAAGATTAGCGCTACGTCTAAGTGCTGTCAGGCTGCATTTTGTTTTTTTCAGGCGCTCCATCAATTGCTTCTCCCTTAGCGTTAAATCTGTAAATAAAAATAAAATATTTTACAAAAGCCTTGCAAGCATTTCTCTGCACACATAACACAATTCAAAATAGCAATAGAACACAAACATTACTAAAACCATATCGAGGATCGTTTTCAATCTTTCTATTTGTTAATAATATTCTAACATTAAATAAGTTTAAGGGATGTTCCTATATGTAAAAGCCAACTTAGAAAACTAGTTTTAGTTCTGTAACAAATCGGCTACAATGGTTTTAATACATCTTAAGTTTCACCCCCAACCTCTTTTACGTGATTCCGTGTGTGCCTCAACGTGGCTTCGACAGCTACTGGAAGATAGAAGTACTGATGGCTACTAGGGGCCATCGTAGTGTTGTTGTTCTAATGCAAAGAGGATGCTGCTGCCCATTCTCTGATATATTATCTTACTAGCTGTGCTTGCGACTTCGTCAGCGTGGAATAGTGATTCAAAGCTACTCTCACGTAGGGTAGGCGTGTAATATGTCTATGTTGACCCGACCTTTTAGTAATATTCATGCAAAGTATGAAATAAATCCAAGTAGTACGTTTTGAGTTTAACCCGGACATATATACAGACAAAAATTCTAAAACTCATATTTTTGGCTTCGGTATCGATTGTAGATCACACTACAAGTATTCTTTTAAAAAAATATTCAATGTACAAATTAGACTTTTCTACGTTTTTATTATATGTATAGACTAACCTTACACAACCTTATACCCACGCTACTGAAGATATGTAATTGTGTTATTTTCTATGCATTATAAATAATGATAAAGTACTTACTAGGCATTTTCTCAGGCAGATTTTCAACAGTAGAAAGGGTATGTATTTCTTCTGAAAAATAAATATAAAAAGAAATAAGTAAAGTCATAAAACCGGCCTCCCTCGTTGGTTGAGTGGTCGCAAGTGCGACTGCTGAGCAAGGAGTTTCGGATTCAATTCCCGGGTCAGGCAAAGTATTACTGGGTTTAAAACAATTCTCAGTAGTAGCATGGAGTCTGGAATTGTGCACGGTATATGGCAATAGACTCACCCCCTATTACATGCGACTCATAACATAAATAGTGGAAAGTGGGTGCTACGTTACAATGTACAGTGCCATTAATTACTGTAATGTACACCTCCGCCCACAACTTCGGGGATAAAAGGCGTGATGTTATGTTATGTTATAAAAAGTTGTTCCTATGTCATGAAGTACCGCAGCACTGGCAGTCAATGCAATCGAATGATAGGAAGAAATACTCAAAACATCTTCACTGACCTTGAGACAGCTCCACAGAGATCTGACTTAATTGCTTACTCGTGGATGGCACTGCTTCAGGCAAAATATCTGAAATGATACATTATGATTTAAAACTAGTCTGATAGCCGCTAGATATGAGAGCTGATGACTTCAAAATAAAGATTTTTTTTCATTATTGCACGTTTGGTGCGGCGGCTGAGAAACCGGCTACAACCGGCAACATGTAGCGGGTTCTATTACCGCACATAATGATTTATTCTGTGATTCACAAATACTTGTTTCGGGTCAGGGTCTCATGTGTTTGTGAAATTATATGTTAGTAATAAGCTGATAAAAATATCATCAGCCTGTAGCAGACCATACCATTGCTACTCATGGACCTCTCGAATAGCATGCTATTTTTCAGATCCGTTCACAACACCTTTCATCTATCCTATTTTTTAATATTCAGAATAAGACTAAAGTAAGAAACAAGGGAATTTAATATTAAACAAAAGCTTTTGCAGGCAGGTAGGTAAAAATGTATTAACGAAAATATACCAGAATAAAAATAATTTTATGCCGTAACTTGTCATGCCTGGTCTACTCTTGCAACCGAATATCTGTTTAATCAAGAACGGATTAACTGATATCCAAAATTACTTACTATCAAACTATCATCACTAGCCAGAAGTGCTCAATGCTGAACGAATATTTATTCTCACGCGGAGACTGTATGAACTACGGATTCACTACGCTGCTTGCTCAAGGCAGTTTGGTGATTTCAAACTTATAGTTTGAGATATTAAGTCCAGGATTTATCACGTTTCCTACCTTCACCACCTCGACAACACATCCATAGAATGTCACATACATACTTATCAATAGGATTTAGTAGCATAACATACCTTTTTGATTCAGTTCCATAAGGATTCAAGTTCTTGATTGTTGGCTCGTGGATGGCACTGGCTGTACTTGAGGAAGAACATCTGTAAGATAAATTATGGTTTGAAATTAAAAGACGGATTAACTGATATTTTAAATTACGCACTATCAAACTATAAACTTTGATATCATCATTACTAGGCAGAAATGGTCACTGCTGAACAAATACTTATTTTCACAAGGAGACAGTATAAGCTTCAATCTCTACGCTTGCTCAAGACAGATTGGAGATTTCAAACTCATAGTTTGAAATAATAAGTCCAGGTTTACTCAGGACGTTTTAGGAGAAGCTTAAATAAACTTGAAAAGTATATAATATTTATACTTTGGAAAAAATAACATTGGTACCTGCTAGGTTTCGAACCTGGGTGGCCTTCTCGGCCACCACGACATCACATCCATAGACAGTCACATAGAAACTTATTAATAGAATTTAGTAGCATAACATACCTTTTTGATTCAGTTCCATAAGGATTCAAGTTCTTGATTGTTGGCTCGTGGATGGCACTGGCTGTACTTGAGGAAGAACATCTGTAAGATAAATTATGGTTTGAAATTAAAAGACGGATTAACTGATATTTTAAATTACGCACTATCAAACTATAAACACATCATCATTACTAGGCAGAAATGGTCACTGCTGAACAAATACTTATTTTCACAAGGAGACAGTATAAGCTTCAATCTGTACGCTTGCTCAAGACAGATTGGAGTATTCAAACTCATAGTTTGAAATAATAAGTCCAGGTTTACTCAGGACGTTTTAAGAAATACTTAAATAAACTTGAGAAGTATATAACATTTATACTTTGGAAAAAATAACATTGGTACCTGCTAGGTTTCGAATCTAGGTGGCCTTCTCGGCCACCACGACATCACATCCATAGAATGTCACATAGAAATAATATATTAATAGAATTTATATTAATAAGTGTATTAATATAATATATTTAATATAAATTTTATTAATAAGTGTATTAATAGAATTTGGTAGCATAACATACCATTATGATTCAGTTCTTTAAGGACTGTCTGTTGTCTCGACTGCTGGCTCGTGGATGGTACTGGCTGTACGTCAAGTAGAAGATCTGTAAGATAAATTGTGGTTTGAAATTATTAAGTTTCGATGTGCCAATTATTCAAATATCAGTATTAATTTTGAATAATAGAAGTATCTTAATT